CAAAATTACTCCACAATTAATAATAATAATTATAAACACCAACATGGATCAATCACAAAATAAAACGTAGATGATGTTAAAATGTTATCAAAGTATCATTATCATTCTGTAAAATATAATTCATTATCATTCTGTAAAATATAATTCTATTTGGTTTACAATTAACAAGGCTTAGTAGATGCGGATGATATCCAAATGGCTTTTGAAAGCAATATTAATTTTCACTAACACCTTTATTGTACTTCTAAGAGATATGAACCTTTATTTCTCTATCTTTGAAAAATTAGCTTTCAATCAATCAATCATTTGAAATTTGATAATCAATTATTCATATTATTGACCTTTAATCATATAACAACTATCTAATTTCTAAATATTTGTTTCCGATTTTTCAATACCCTTAACAATGAGTTAATGACAACTTTTACAAAATATTTCATAAATTTTATGCAATAATATTTTTTTCCCCCTACTATGTACTACGAGTATATGTGTATATTGTTAAATATACATGTATTAGTAAAATTATTTATACTACGTGTATATGTGTATACTGTTAAACATACATGTATTAGTAAAATTATTTGTTGAAATGGTTAACATGACAAAAAGTATAAGTTATTATATACTTAAATATGATATTTTATGATATCTTTTATATAGATTTTTATCGTATTTTAATTTCTTTTGAAACATTTATAATTATAGCTTATTTTGTTTTTAATTGAGGTGAGTTTTTATTTCGAATCAATTATGTTACACAACAACAAATATTTTATATAGAGTACTTATATAATTTAACTGTACAATTTTCATTGTCAATATCAAATCTGTATCACTTGTTAATTTCTTACGATAGGACTTGATACTCGTTAGTAATAAAAAACTAATAAAAGTTTTGGAAAAAAATGTTTAGCATATCTCTTATTCAAATTTTAAGTTTCAAATTCAAGTAATTAATCTGACATTCAAATAGTATATTTACGAATATCCAACAACTAGACACCCATTTTATCTATTTCCACACTACTTCCCTCACATAAAATTATATTTACAATTATCTAATTCGTTTCTATAAAATGTATCCAATATATTCCTCAACATCATTTATAATCGAATTACCAGATTCACATATTCTGTGATATATATAATTCAATTTCAATTACAAAACTGAGAATAATAATTTTAACTTACACAAAAAGTTGAATTTCATAATTTGATTTTAAATAACTTCTTAAACAAGAAAAAACGCTCTAATATCTCCTAAATTTCTAAATATATAAAAAAACTATCTTAAGAATATAAACATATAAATTAAAACTTTAGTACTGTATTAACTTTGTAGTAATTTCGATGTCCTAAGTTGATTAAAAATATAAATTCCTAAAGCTCATACATGACAAGGAAAGGAAATAAAAATAAATAGTAGGAGAACTAAAACCTTAGCCAAATTAAAATTCGCCAAATTAAAATTCTCGTTGGATGAATTTGATCTACACTATCGTAAAAGTACGGATGGCAAATAAAAACATAAAAGCAACGTAGATAATTTATAATTTAAATAATAATTTTTTTAATAAAAGATATTTTATATTTTTAAGTTTAAAATTACCCAACTCCAATAAACCTGTGAATCATCATTTCCTCAACTTGCCACATGTACTAATTATGAGTTTGCACACTTGTTGTCCTTCGAATGTCCTTCTTTCAATTGTTTTTCATATTTTTTTTTAAATAATTTGGAAAATAAGCTAGTTAAATGACAAAGTGTTTTTGTTTTTTACCTTTTTTTTTCTTCACTATTCAAATACAGTCAAGAACGTGTGCTTTTACCTGTTATATTTATGGTTTAATTGTTCATACACCGAAATGATCATCAAATGTAGTTGGAAAACAAGTCTCAAGCCTTATAAAAAAAAATATTAAATATTTTTTATCCTAAACATTAATATTAAATTAAAATTTAATATTAATTAGAATTCTTCTATTTTCTAAATTTTAATATAGCTTAGTTATCAAATTTTAAAAATAAACAAATACAGTTTTTCTAATTCAACATTGTCATATCTATTTACGTGTCAAAATCTATTTTAAGAGTTATTTATATTGTTCGAGATATTTAAATTTGAATACTAACTTATAATATCATTTATCGATTAAAAGAATTATTGATTCTTAAAGTTTGAAAAACAAAATTTCTTAACTTTTTGGAAATAAAAATAATTTTTAATTTTATGTCAAAATTTATGGATTATAAACATATTTAATTACAAAACAAATCTATTTGTCACTATCAACACACAACAAAAAAGAAAATAAACAATAAAATTCATCTATATCGAGTGTAATATAAATTATTAACTTAATTAATAATTAGTTGATATGTATATTTAGACATTTAATTAGTTTTTTTCTTTCGTATTTGTTTTTTACTCAATCAAACTCTTATTTTTACAAATACTTAATCTAATATTTTCAATTAGATTGATTAAACAAGAAAACTTTGTGTGTGAAAATCTAGAGTCTATAATGTGTCAAAATTTGAATCTTTTTAATACTTTGAAATGTTTCTGACATTAACAAATAATACCTTCTAAATAAAATATAACTCAAATTTTAAAGAATAACATTTTAAATAATCATGTTTTTTTACAACAATAATAACTCGATTAATTTTTTTCTAAAAAAATAAAACATAATTAAAAAATTATAAAAAATAAAATAAATAAATGGGCTAAATAAAAAAACAATATCACTAATTAAATCTATATTTTTCTTAAAGCTAAGAAAAACTTAAAAAGCAATCTCAACTACCGTTCAAACATGAATGGTGCCAACAATTATTTAAAGGGCATCATTGCTGAAAACCATGGTTCTAAGCATGAAACCATATCCTCTAAATATAAAAAATCTTCCCCCTAATTCAATGCATGCATGCATACATACATACGTGTCTGTGTCTCTATATATATATATATTATTATATATATATATATATTATTGTGAAATAATTTTGAACTAATTATAAGAATATATATATATATATATATATATATATATATATATATACACGTGTCTATATATATATATTAGTGTAGAATAATTTTGAACTAATTACAAGATGATACGTAGGTGATATTAAAATGTTGTCAAAAAATATTGTTAAAGTAATATATATATATATATATATATATATATATATATATAAATATTATTCATATTCATATTTATATAAATTTTTTATTAACTTTTTGGTGTCAAGTTTTTTATATCTATTTTTTTAAACTCTTATAGGTATATTTAAAAAACATAATTAACATTTATATAATTAACTAAATATAAATATAAATAAACCTAATCTTTTTAAAAATATTTAATAAAAATATCAATTTAAAAAATATTTGTAAAGATTTATATACAAATTAAATTTTGTTTAAATTTTGGAAGAGACAAATTTGTTTAATTCTTAAAAATATTAGGTCTAAATTGAGACAAAATAAAATACAGGAACCAAATTGAGACAAAATAAAAATACAGGAACCAAATTGAGACAAAATAAAAATACAGGACCAAATTGATACTAATTCAATAACACGTATCATTGTTAGTGCCACGAGACACTATCATTGTCGTATAGTACAATGTCAGTTTGACACATGATATTTTAAATAAAATTACTTAAAAAGTTAAAGAAAAAAACACAAAGTGATGCATGACACCCTTTTTAATTATGTTAGTACAAACCTAACGACAAATATCTAATTGCTTTAATTTTTCAAAAATAAAGATTTAATTAAGACAAAAGATAGTGAGAAACCTATTTAAAAAAATCACTATAAAGACCATATATATAATTAAACGTAAAGATTTTTCTTCAAAATTAGAAACATTTATTGAGAAGAACGAGGACACGGAATGAATTTATTTTTGTCATTAATTAAAATTTATATACTTTGTCCATACATATTAATTATATTAATACTTAAATTTAGAAATTAATTCTAGCTATTTGGTTAAAGTATGATATATAGATATAAATATTATTCATATTCATATTTATATAAATCTTTTATTAATTTGTTGGTATCAAGTTTTTGATATGTCCGCAAAATATACTGATTTTATTATGTAAAAAAAGTTAGTATATTTTAAAAACATTATAATTAAAGGACATTAGTGTATTTTGAAAACTCTGAAAAACAAAACAAAATACCAAATTCAATAAAATAATTAACTTAATTTCTCTCAAAACGCGTACCAGAAGAATTTAATTAAAGTTATATACTTTGTCAATACAACACAATATTGATTGATGTTATATGGTATGCTATGTATTATTAATCCAATTAAATTTAAATTTAAACAATTAACTGTACGTGGTATTCGGTTAAAGTAAGAAATGAAGGCAGAATTGACACGGCACAAGGCATGCATGAAGACTGAAATAGGCAGTACCTCATGGAGCAGAAACAAAATAAAACAAAAACTCAATCTTTCACCGTCCCGGTCTCCCATGTGAAAGAAGCCACCGAAAAGTTTTATATACTTCATGTTGCTATTGACATTTGGTGGAATGTGGCAGAAAAAAAAGTAGAGGACCCCACATGGCAGAGTAAACAGTGACATTGAATTTGAAACTCAACTGCTTCTTCTGATTCTCCATATCTACCTTCCAATCCGTCTTTTCCTCTGTTCCTTTAAGATAAAAATGCATTCATCCCTTCTTAAAACAATCCACTATTAGAGTTTTTATCCCTTTTCGCCTCCCTGTATTTGCGTGCCATCCAAGCACTCCCCTTTTCACCCTTTGCACTCAAAAAGCTAGTCCCAGGATCACACACAGTCACAGACAGAAAGAGAGAGAAATAGCTATTGCTCTGTGGTTGACTGTGTCTTCATGGGAATAAGAATCCACAAACTGTACTTCAACTGGGATTCATCCGATTCCTTTGTCTCTGCTGATTCATAATCTCCTTAAGGTGCGTTTTCTTCTGTCATAAATTCTCTTTCTTTTACTCCTTTTTCCCCCTGTCTGCTCTGGAATATTATTTTTGTCTATCTGGGGGCCTTCATGCTTGCGGTCTTTTCAATCTATAATCAACAACATAGATGGTGGGGTTGGTGGAAGTTTTTTCTTTTATGCATGTCCAATTATTTGAATTTCTCTTGAAGCAATTCAATTTGAGTCTATTCATTATCAAGCCTCATAGGGCGTTGCTTTAAGGGAAAAACACAGAAGAAAGAGCGATTTCGGTGCTGCAGAACTGAAGACATTTGAGCTAATTCGTACGTTTGACATGGAATCAATGCCTTTCTTATTTCCTTGCTTGAAGAACTGCTTGATTGATTAATCTATTTCTGAAACTGTAACATTATTTGATCGTTCACACAAATATCCCGCTGATTGGATATAATTTTTCTTGCGTTTTCAAAATGTCTTCAGAAGAACATCTTAGCCATTCTTCCTTGAAAATTAGACACATGCATTTAGCAAGCTTTCTTACAAGTCATGCTAATTCTCTCTATTCATTTAATATTTTATTTGTCAACCTCCACCCCGCCTTTTCTTTTTCTTTTTATCATTTTCCTTGGTCTGTCATACTGTTTAGGATCTGAGAATCTTGGTAGCATGTGATTCCCACAATAAGAGGTGATATGGATTTTTTATTCCGTGATCTATCTACTCTTCATGATACCTGCTTTGCCAATGCAAATGTAATACCTCAAATAGCACTGGTTGGTAAAAGTTTTGGGATCACAACATTTTTTCCTCGAGCATTTATTTGTGTACGATCTTTTAATTCGTCAATAGTTCTGATCATGCTACATTTGAAGATTGAATTGAACTTGAGGTCTTGCTGTTTCAGAAGAGGTTGTACCAACTTGCACCAAATAATATTGCATGGGTTGGTTTACTAAACTGCTCAAGGGATCCAACCGTAAATATTCAGGAGGAGGATATCATGGGAAATATGAAGAGGACAGATATTCAGACAATCATGATAATTCAGCGGTAATCACACTTTCTGCTTCTTGTAAAAAAATTATCATTATTTCAACTTATCATGTCATTTTCTAGCACGATAGTTGCTTGAACATAACATAGCACTAGTTCCTTTCGGATTTGGTCTAAAGTTATGAATTCTAATAGTCTGAACTGAGAGCAGGATGATTTGACGGAAATTGAGAAAGAAGAAATTGATCGGGCAATAGCACTCTCTCTTTCAGAGGCAGATCCGAAAGGGAAAGGAGTTATTGGTGAGATTTATGCTTTTGCTTTTTTATGTATCTTGTTAAAATCAGGAATTCAGTGTGCCAGGTTACCTAAAATGTATACTCTAAACATAATGCATATCGATTTATTAAGTTCTTGTGTAACAATCTAAGTGTCTTGGTGTCAGTGATCAATTATCTCAATTAAAATATAATTCTAATCTATACCATAATCAGGATTTGTTGATTCTGATGCTTGGTTGAAAAAGTACTGAACATATTTTTCATATGGTTAGAGTCCATTAAAAAGAATCTGAAATTTCATTTGGTAAACTTGTGTTTGGAAATGGATTCCTGATTTTTTTCCCCCTGCTAAATACCTCATGTTTTTGCCTCTCAAAACCAGAGGACGACTCTGAATCTGAAGATGATGAACTGTGTCCACTTGACGATGAGGAAGACAATCGTGTTGGGGAAGTTCAGCAAGACGAAGATGACCATCATGCTCAAATTCAACAGGATGAAGACAAAAATCTTGATGAATTTCAACTTGAGGAAGATGAACAACTTGCCAGGGCAATTCAAGAAAGTTTGAGCATCAGTTCTCCTCCTCGATCTGACACTGATTCTTTATTTCAACCTCTTGCAAACTTATTCCCACCTGTTTACAGGTACCTGTGGAAAAGATGATACCTTTTATCTGTAGTTAGAGCCCAATTTCAAATACCACATATGGAAATTGCCAAACTTCACTGATTGTGGTAAACAGAGGGGGACAAATTATTGTCCTCATTAGTAAAATTGCTTTAATGGAACACATGCGGTAACCTGGTTTTTGCAAAATGTGCTTGCAGAACTTGTGCTGGTTGCAATGCCGAGATTGGCAGTGGAAGATTTTTGAGTTGCATGGGAGGTTTTTGGCATCCCGAATGTTTTTGTTGTCATGCTTGCAAACTTCCAATCACTGATTATGAGGTTAGATTCTTGGGTTGATTGCTATATGCTTCATGAAACTCAATTTGAACACATTTAGCTTTCTTCTGGAATTCAAAAATGAAGATCTTTAGCTTCTTTTTTTTGTTAATATGATTGTAAATAATGTTCACATCCGTATCCATTTGCAGTTTTCAATGTCTGGAAATGGCCGTTATCATAAGTCCTGCTATAAGGAGTTGCATCATCCGAAATGTGATGTTTGCAAAAACTTTGTAAGTAATGGCAGTGAGTTTTCTCTTACAGATTTTTAGTGAATTCATTATGCCGGTGTTTGATTAATGGTTTCAATAAAATTTGATTGGCATACAAATTTCACTATATCATGTGTTTTGTTGGAAGACTATGGATGTTGAGCCGTTTTCAAAGTTAAAGTCATTTTACACACTGTTCATTGCAGATCCCACCAAACTCAGGTGGCCTCATTGAGTATAGAGCACATCCTTTCTGGCTACAAAAATATTGCCCATCGCATGAGCGTGATGGAACTCCTCGTTGTTGTAGCTGTCAAAGAATGGAGGTCAGTTATAACGGCCTCCAAAACATGTGATCATTTGTTCGTGTATCCCATTTCTCATTCCTTTCTCTGTCTTTCTTTTGCATTTTCATATCTGATATGAAACTTTCCAATCAATGCAGTCAGTGGATGCCAAATATCTGTTGCTTGATGATGGCCGAAAGCTGTGTCTGGAGTGTCTTGACTCAGCTATCATGGATACCCATGAATGCCAACCTCTCTATGTTGAGATACAAGAATTTTATGAAGGCTTACATATGAAGATAGAGCAGCAAATTCCTATGCTTTTGGTTGAGAGACAAGCACTGAACGAAGCCATGGAGGGAGAGAAGAATGTAAATGTTAACGTTTTGAACATTCATTCATGAAATTTTCCTTTCATTTTCTCTTCTCTACATCATACCCTTCTATTGTCCTGATTTTTGCATTGCTTTTTGAGTGTAGGGTCATCACCACTTACCTGAAACTAGAGGACTTTGCTTGTCTGAAGAGCAAACTGTTCCCACTGTAGAGATCTCTTCTTAATTTCAATCTTCATTAATGGTTTAAATTCTCAATAAACTATCTCTATTCATCAAGCAGTGGTTTATACTCTTTTCTTGTAATTCCAGATTTTAAGGAGACCAAGGATAGGGGCAGGATACCAGCTCATAGATATGATAACTGAGCCTTTTAGACTGATCCGTCGATGCGATGTGACAGCCATACTTGTTTTGTATGGCCTTCCCAGGTATCCTTCTGATGCCTACNTTTAAATATTGATTTTTAAGAAAAAAAAAATTCTAAATCAGTCTCATTAATCTTTCTCTCCATTTAAACTAAAAAAAGTTCATTCATTTTAAAGTAATTATTTTAGAATAAAGTTGAAAAGTACCTTACTCATTCACAAAATAAATTTGAATGAAGAATTCATATTTTTTACAAAAAATAAACAAAATTTTATATTTATGATATCGGTTGCAAAGTTAAGTGAGAAAATAGGTGACTAGAGACACTAGACCAAACAAAAAACCATATTTAAGTATATTCTTAGTGGTTATACTAGCCATACCATACTTAGTATGCAGTTTTTTCAACTATCTGTTTTCTTGAAAGTGATAGAACACCACAATCGTCAATGCTACTCGATTCCATAAGCAAAATACTTCATGATGATTCAAACGTGTCTACAACTTTCCAATCTTATATTATAATGTTAATTCGTGAAAACTAATAGATATAAGTTTTTCTATATTTCGTAAATTGTATTTTTTTATTATAAATTTGGTGTGGTTCTCATATTTTATATTTATTACTTTTTAATAAATAGTTGATAAAAATTTATGACGTCAACATATTCATAACAATGGTTAACATCTATTTATTTAAAAAACTATTATTAAAAGAAAAAAAATCACCGAATTTATTTAACTTTAAACTAACTGAATAAAGGAAACGGGTATCTAAGCATTGTGTACTTTTTCTTGATTATTTAAAATACTAAACAATTTTTATATTGATTAAACTTTATAATTTACATTATTCACGTTTTAAAATTATTTGCTCAACTAATAGTCAACACCCGTAATATTATTCTTTGTTCATCTGATACACCGTAATCGAGGAGACAGATTTATTTTCCTGGTAAATTTTGATATACTAAAGTTTTTTCAAGATTGGGTTTCGAGAAATGCGTTTGGTGATGTAATATTAAATTATAACTTTAGAAGAGTGAGTTAGAAATATATATATATAAAATAAAAAAATGAAATGAATCCTTGAAAGGAACACCAACCTGTAATCCGTTGGAGAAGGAAAGAGAAGGCTTAACGGCGGGAAAAGAAGGTAAAAGCTGCGAAAAGCAAACAAAAACTACCAAACCAAAAGCAAACTCTCTCATCTCATCTTTAGGCCATTTTTTATTTTCAGAACCAAAAGAAGAACAAGAAGAAAAGCAAAGCAAGCGCGCCATAATCTCTTTCTCATTTTTCGTTTTCTTCTTTGATTCTCTCTCAAAAGAGAGGAACCAAAAACTAAAGCAGAAATAGCGAATGAAACCGAGATTCTACAAGAAAGAGTGTTTCAGTGTTCGCTCTTGACTAGATCTGCGTCCTCTTCGTCATTCTTCTGATCTTCTTCTTCTTCTTCTCTTCTTTCAGGTACTTGCATTTCTTCCTTTCTTAGATCCTCGCTTTTGCAGTAAGCGATTTCCGGTTTCTCAGTACGAATTGCAACTTGAAAGCCTTCGATTACTTTTTCAGGATTCGATAGTTTATTCTATATGCATTATAATGTGAATGTTGCCTCTCAAGAATAGAAAACACTGTTTCTCTCGCTCTGTTTTTGTCACTTTTTTTGGCTGTGTTTTTGCTGGATTTCGTTTATGTCATGATGTCCATTTTCTTCGATCTTCTGTCTCGTATAGTTTGTAGGCATTTCTTTCCGCGTAGAATCTGCGGAATGCATATGCGTGATCGATGGTTTTGGTGTTTGTTTGCCGAGAAAATTAGGAACGACATTGAGCGAAGTTTAGACGCTTACTTCGAGGTAAAGGAAAAAAGAATCACTGCAGTGCACTCAACTGCAAATAATTGAAAAAAAACTCTAGCACTGATAATTGAGGTTCGCTTTTTCTTTTTTTTTTCTTTTAAGTTTTTAATTTCTCATCCTGACATTTAAAAAAAAAATTAAATACTTATTGTGTTTTCTCAGAACTTATACTGTTTTTTTCCTTTCTTTTTTTTCGCTTGTTTTAACATATATGTTTGCTTTTTTAGAGGATATATTCTTATAATGCGTTTTTGTTGAGATAATACTAGAACATTAAAGTCGGTTTTGAGTAATAAATTCACACGTTTGATTCGTTTTTACGCAAACGCATTATTGTCACGTTCATGATCTATGCAACTGCTAGTAATTGGGAACTTGAAATTAAATCGGGCCATCCAATTCAGTGTGGGAGCATGAGTAAGGTTAGTATTATTTTCAGGGGTGGAGAGAGAGTTATCACTACGGTTTGTTCACTTTATTATTGATAGCTATAAAGAGGTGAGGAATTATATGAAAGACATTTGAGGTACGATTTAAACTGTCGGAATTAGAATTTATTCTACGATGATTGGTAGGTAATTGTTGGCCGAAAAATGGAATGACAGGCAGGACAAGTGAAATGAAATGACTATCACTATTCACTACCAAAGAGAAAAAACAAAACCATAAGTTAAATTTGACCCAGAAAGCTACCCAAACCTCCCCCAAGACTTAAGTTCTTCTATTATTTCATTTAAGGATTAGTTAAAATAGTAATGGAGCTACAATGACAAAGGTGAGTCTTTTTCTGAAAAATAATGCAGTACAGGGAATGGAATAGATGATCATAAAGGAATGACTCCCATTTCTTCTGTGTCCCATTCATGTTCTGCTTAGCAATTTTGTGTAGAAGAGATGGAAGCTGGGGAAAGTAACAGTGGTAACGAGAGGCGTATCATATCCAAGGATTCTTCGTGGTTCAGTCAATTCAGAAATGCATCCAATCCATGGATGGCAAGATATGCCTATGCGTTGATTTTTCTTGTGTCAAATCTTCTAGCATGGGCTGCCCGGGACTATGGTCGTGGTGCTTTAACAGAAATGAAGAGTAAGATTTCTTAAATCCTCAAAGTGGTGAATTTTTGCATCCCACCGCCATAACATTTAGTTTTCTAATGCTTCTTTCAGATCCAGCATCTATGCTTAAAATTTCTATTTATTTTTAAAAATTGATTGTTTTCTTCTTTCTAATGGCTATTGGTTCCCTGAAGATTCACCATCTTAACATGTAAATCTGACATCTTGTCTGAATGCATGCATTATTTTATAAAGATCAATCAGATGATATGAAAAATATTCAGTAATGCACAATGTACTTTGGTATATATTCAATATACAACTTTTTATGATCAAAGTGGAATAAGCATTTATAAATTCAGAACAGAAAATAATACCTATTTAACTTTCTATTTAGTAAGTTGGACTTCTTAAATGTTAGCAAATCATTCAATTCAACCGAGAGAATTTTTGACACACACCTCGTGTACACTCTCGGGACTACTGAGACCGTGTTCCCTCCATTTAAAGCTGTTTACGTTTAAGCATACTATTTTCATGCGATGCTTAAAATCTAATATATTGAGCCTACAGGATTAAAAGGATGCAATGGTGGAAAAGACTGTTTGGATGCTGAAGGTGTTTTACGAGTGAGCTTAGGTTGCTTTGTATCCTTTCCAATTATACGCTTGACAATTGTCGGTAAAGGCTTTGGGTAAGGTTTGTAGAAAGGAAATCAGTAGTAATTTGATTAATCAATGATTTATGTTTGTTTATGCTAGGTGGAAAAATTAAATTAGAAATTAATGAATTGGCAAAGAGTTATGTCATAATTATGTAATTTTATCTTAGGCCAATGGAATAGTCCAATACTATTTAAAATGAACCTTAACCCGAGTTTAGATATTTTTTATCGTAATGTTTTTGTCAACTGCTCGTACTTCTAAACTGAACGATGTGAGAGATACATGGCACTCTGGATGGTGGTCGGTCAAGATTGCTCTCTGGGTCGTCATGACTATCATCCCATTTTTACTCCCTTCTGAATTTATACAGATTTACGGTTAGTAAGTTGTATTTGCATCAAGCCTCCTAGAATTAATTCATTCTCTGAAGTATCAAAAACGTAGTTATTATAAACTTGTCATTCCTCTGATAGAATACTTTTGGCAGGGGAGGTGGCTCACTTTGGTGCAGGGTACATTTTTAACCTCTTGCAAATAATTTAGTCTTGCCATTCTTTCTACAGTCATCTATGAATATTTAAAATATTGCTGTATTCCTTTTTCAGGGTTTTCCTTCTTATCCAACTAATAAGCATTATCAGCTTCATTACATGGCTGAATGAATGCTGTGAGTCCGAAAAATTTGCAGCACGATGGTAAGATTTTATCAGTTAAAGAACTAACAGAAATGCATGCATCCTGAACACGAACAATAGGCTTGAGAAAATTGCAACTGTATAAGTTTTCGTAGTTTTTTAATTTAACGATTCAGCAAGGCATGCGCATTTGTTTTCGGATATTGAATAATTGATTGTTGTGCTGATATAAAGACAAGGGAAAAAAAATCTTGATTTTCTACATCCTTATCAACTTTTAATTAGCATTAAAGGAACTCAAGAGTCTAGAGTGGGATAACCAGTTATTGTTTGATCGAGTGTGGTCTAGCTTATCTAGTTATCTTAGCAATTTAGCAACTTGTGTAGCGAGAAGTGAGAAGCGGGGCAACAACCCGAAAATCGTGCTTGTGCAATTTATCCCGTTTGGTCTTGTAAAACATTGATGTGGTTTCGAACAAGTTGATCAGTTTATTTAAGATAATATCAGGGGATTCAATATTCTGTAAATGTTTATGTGCTTAATCATCAATTACCACGCAGCCGAATTCATGTGATGTTGTTTGCGACGACTGCATATGTTGTCTGTTTGGTGGGGATAATTTTGATGTACATTTGGTATGCACCAAAGCCATCTTGCCTCCTCAACATTTTCTTCATTAGTTGGACCTTAGTACTTCTCCAACTTATGACAAGTGTGTCTCTGCACCCAAAAGTAAGATTTTCCTAGCTCAATTCACTTCATCATGCAAGATTTGATGTGGAATTTCTAACTATATCTGCAATAGGTTGATGCTGGCATTCTAACTCCAGGGCTGATGGGACTTTATGTTGTCTTCCTTTGTTGGTGCG